GGATCGAACCAGTGACCTTCTGGTTCCAGGACGACTCCCCTAACCACTCCGCCACAGCCGCCCCAATGTAAGGAGTCCAAGTAAAAAGTAGGCTGAAAAATAATTACTCAAGTAAAGTACAGATAACCAAAATTTCTACTTAAGTACAGTAACAAAGTATTTGTACTTAGTTACATTACAACTCTGAATATTAAGTCCTGAGTTTTAATTATTATTTTTATTTCTACCGGTATATTAATTGGCATGTTAAAAATCACATTGTAATAACCGATTCACAGTTTTTAATGCCAGTTTCCTCAAGGTTCCCAGGATTTGAAGCTCCCCTTTGGCACGTTGAGAGGGGAGCTTTGCTGTTTGTGTTCTCCGTTTGCAAGTTCAATACTGTCTTTAGTGAAGGTGCAACCATAGTTACTGTTTTTGTGTTGTGCTTTTCCACACAGAGCTGCCCCCTGAAGTTTTACACAGAGTGGGACTGCCGCACCGCTCCTGCTTTTCCCATGCACTCTCTGAACCCTCAAAGTCTGGAAAAAAAAAAAAAAAAGCGAATTCAGAGATGACAGAATTATATAAATGCTTAAAAAAGTGACCTAATTTTTTTCCTGCATCCTTCTTGAACATCTAAGAAGCACATTGGCAAACACAAAATACAAAGCAGAGGTTAAATCATCAAATTGTGAGTCAAACAGTACAATGTGCTTACTTTAGACAAAGCATGACCGTAAAGAGGAATTTGCAGTGAGGGAATTAACTCCCTGACAGACACTCCTTTTAGGTCCTCAGGGTTGTGGTATCCATGAAAATGAGCCAATGCCAAATCACAGTTTAGAATGGAGCCCTAAAAATGACATTAAATGTACTTATTTAATTTAAAAGATAAATAAATGAAAGCAGAGGATTATCAAGCTGTGAGAGCCTATAAATATTGCCGTACTTACATCTTGTGAAAAAGACAAAAAGCCTGAGACCCTCTCTACACTTTCCAACATGACAAGCCAATAGTCTTCATTTTGCGACGGTCTGTACATACACAGTGACACCGGTACCTCTCCAGATAACGTCACAGCATCCACCTTGCAAAAACAAAACACACTTGTTAATTTACAAAATATTTCAGCCGATGTGTGGCAAATTATAGACATTTAACTAAGAGTACGACTGAATTACATTTGTAGAAAAACAGTCGGGTTTATTTCATACCACTTTTCCAGAAACGGATGCAACCGTTCCATCTGCTAGAGGATAATCTTCATCTAGTGCCTTTTCCAGGACTTYGCTTGTTTTCTTTAAAACTGAAGAAAGCTTCTTTCCAGTCAGTTCTTTAGTAGAGCACTCAAAAAGGTTGGTCGCTTTGTCATTTGCTGACAATATCTAAATGAAGAATAAAAAAAGGGTATATTTAAAAAGAATAAATGCTATGCTTAAAGTCTTAATAACCTTTGCTGCTAAGTGYAAACGTAGTACCTCACTGGTTTTATGGGAGACAGTCAGGACAACTTTGTTTGGGTTAAGGGCAGCTGGATATTTAGGCAGGCAGAAATCTTCAGACATAAAGGAATTAGGAAAACCCCCTTCTGTTTCTGATGCAGTGGACAGTTGCTGCAGGAAGTGAGCAGAAACCTGGGAGCCAGGAAGAATGCGACCAAGCTGATGTTTTTTCCTTGCAGAGGTGCAAACATCAATATGTTCACCTGCAAACAAAAATCATCACACTTTCATCCCCATGGTTGGTGCCCAAACAACAAGAACAACAGTCTTAATCAGCTCCCTGTGATGTTTTTAATTTAGGGAGTTTTGCCTGTTGTGTTTGCTGGAAATAAAGTCAAAGTGAGCTGCAAGTGCAAACAAACTTTTTAGCCTCACCTGTCATGGAGTCAGGATAATCATGACGACGCTGCAAGGCAAAGAGGCTTTTCTTGTACTTCGGTTTCTGGGTGCACGGATAAGACTTATTCAGGTGGAAGTCATCTTCCAGAAGATCACAGGAGAGTTCAGGCAGAACGCAAAAGGTCTTTCTTTCATCCCTGATGCTTTGGTTTGCCACAGTTTGCACACCAGTCGACAGCGACATTACGCATCTGGGACTGATACAGTTTGAGATTTTTAGGCAAAAATAGCAACGTGCTTTAATGACAAAGTTACTTGCAACCAGTTTAAAGAAACACTTACCTCAGCTAGTGCGCGGTTTGTACTTCCTAGTATAATCAGCAGGCAGTTTTAGTTGACATTAGTTGACAAGGTAACGACGTCTCCCATGAGCTATCACCAGGCTGCTAGCTTCAATGCTAATGCTACCTGAAACACACCCGCTCGGTTCTATTTGGCTTTAAAAGTAGCAAGGTCTTATTGTTAGCTTCAATTCAACGGGTTTTAGCACAACTTCGTGACCATTCAAGACTGAAAGGCAGACCTCATTATTACTACCTACCGCTTTTATTTCTGTGCATTTAGTTATTTATTTTGTAACCGGCGCGCTTCGGGCACCTCTTATTTTTAGCCAATCACGTTTGTTGTTCTTCACAACGATAAGCTCATTGGATAATTAACCGGAAACACCAATAGTCCAAAATGCCTCACAGAATAAAGTAAAAACAACACAATAAAAAGATAAAAAAGCTTAGCTATGCACCTAATTATTTATATATTGAATTTACATGCTATTTGTCTGTAATTTAAAATATTTCATATTCGGAAAACAAACAGCAATAAACCTTTTTTTCCTCACATCCATTTAAGCAAATAACTCTGCTTGTGTTAGATCATTTGATTTATTTTATTAGATCAAAAAGAAAGGCATCCATGACAGTGGAATAAAACAACTATAACATTGTGTAAAACATATAACGTACAAATTATAAGCTTCTTTCATGTTAATGTACAAATTTGATGAACACCGTAATGCACGTTTCAGCAAACAGAACATAGCAAATATAATCCCATTACATAAAACTGCCATCTGGGAGAAGTTGGGGAAAACTTTGCATGTTCCACGTGCAATTACTGCAGGGGTCCATATGGTGTTCCTTTTGTTTTTTTTTTGGTAACTGAGTCTCTTAATTAAATGCATGGCTTTTTTATTCTATGAGCTTCCCTGTAGGCGGATCATCGACCATCTTCACTGAGACGTTGTTCTGCCCACAAAACAGACTGAAAATAAACGAATCAAATACAATCCCTACTGACAGAAAGTCTGGCAGGGTACGAATTAAAACGGGTTGAAGGGGCACAGTAGGAAAATACRCTCTGCAATGCTGTTGCATAAGTGAGAAAAATATAACATAAGGAGACATGAAACTCACTCTGACATAGTTGCTCTTTAGGGAAATAAATGTAACAGTCATTACATACATTTTGAATAATTTAAACTAGTTTGCATGTTATCAGCAAAAACCATTGTGAGCCCAAATCTGGTTAAAAATAATTATTTTAAACACACCACAGACATAAAACAAAATATATTTCTCTAAYATTAGGTCCGTTTCAATGCAGAGCATCATTTTGTTGTAGCCTTATGGTAGTGTCTTAAGCTTGGTGGGTAATAAGTTCCTCTAAAGTTTTCTTAACATGCACTGACAGCCTTACTCACAGATGTTATTTCAACAAGTGGAAATATGATCTTTTGATTTTGTCGATTTTGTGGTTCAGCACCRTCTGAAACTTTGTTCTGGAAGAGGTTTTTCACACAAGTAACCGTGTCAATGGATCCTCCCAATTTTGTTTAGTCCAGTGGCTGCAATAGCATGCTTTGCGTCAAGTAGCTGGCTTCACATTATCCGTTTGAAAGAGCCGAGCACAATCACACAGTCCTCCACACACACGCAACTCTGGGAACGCACTTATGGTGCCATGGCTGTGAAGAGTGAGCTTTGAGAAGCTTGTTGAGCATAGTTTACTAAGACGGGTCCGTCCTAATGGTGGTAGTCCTTTTTACTGTGTGGGCGGTTGCCCAGTATATGATCCAGTTCTGTGGCAATGCCCGCTGTGATCTTTGGAATCACCTGAAATGTGCAGAACAAAGAGAGAAAACGTCGTCACGAGGTGAAAATCCTGGGCGGCAAGATGAAAACGTTAAATGATTTCACAGGATTAAAAAGGTTTCACGATGTACCTGAATGGCTCCCAAGTTTTCTGTTAGTTGGCTCGGATTGGAGGCCCCGAGAAGCACAGAGCTGACGCCCTCGTTCCTCAAGCACCAGGCTAAAAGTCAGGGAGAGCAGAGCTTTCAGAAGGTATAATTAAGATGTCAAGGCAGAAAGACGTTTATTGCAGCAACCAATTAAAGTTTTGACTTCTTGTCAGGAAGCAGAAATGAGTTGTGACAGAAATAAAAGCTGAGGCAAAGCTGCCTTTGTCAGCTGTCATTTACCAATGGCTAACTGGGGCAAAGTACAGCTGAGTTTTTCGGCGATGTGAGTCAGTTCCTTTAGTTTGGCCTGCTGTTTTTTGCCATCCTCACTCGTTATCTTCTCCCTCAGCCACTGGTAGGGCTAGAGAAGCAGCCAAAAAAGCATAATCAGAATTAATTCAGCTACAACCGAGGGGGCTTTGACGGAAGCTTAGCCTCTACCTTCATGGCGGCCCGGGAGGACTCTGGGATGCCATTTTCATACTTCCCAGTGATTATCCCACAGGCCAGAGGAGACCAGGAGACCACACCAACACCTGTGATGGAACAATGACCACTGAAAAATCTCGTATTTCACTCTGACAGCGAGTTTAAAAACAATGACAACACACCTACCTATTTTGTGGTAGATCTCTGGAAGCTGAGTTTCCACCTTCTCCCTCTGGAAGAAATGATACTCGGCCTGCTCGCACACCGGAGGAATCAGATTAAACTGCCTGGCCACAGAATACGCTTCCTAATTAAGTGACGGGGGGRAAAAAAAGAAAAGAAAAAAATGTGAAAATGGTGGAGAACGTTCGTAAGATAAGGAAACGTGGAATCGCCGACCTTTATGTTTAATGACTTTAATCTTTTGCCCAAAGCTGCACAGTCTTTCAGCACATCAGCCTGTTTTTCCATTCACTTTAATTGGACTCAGTGTCACCTTTTAATGTATGAAAAAAAGACTCTGCATATTTAGCAATAATGAGGTCATTGTAATAAGATAAAAACGGAGTAGGTTAATTTCTGAAATTGTTTTTTTTTTCTGCACAACTTTATTTTTGAGAATCAATTAATTAGGTGAGGAGATTTCATATAGCTGAAAAATTCTGTTTAACCAACTTTTGCTGTAGCTTAAACATTTTTTCAATGCTGGTTTAAAAAGCAAAATTGGCTCTAACTATGTTTCACAAGATTCTAATAAACATTCACAATAAAATCACATGAATTAACAAACAATTTAAAAATGCCCAGTATTTTTTCACCCCCTACTAATTCCTGTAACGTGGTGTTTTTTGGCTTCGCAGTCACTTACCATGATCTCCATGGCAGACCAGCGAGATGTTCCCCAGTACATAGCCATCCCCTGGTTGATTACRTGAGTCATTGCTCTCACTATTTCTGCAAAACATAAAACATTTAAAAGCAAATGAGCACCTTGTCAATATTTGAACATTAGATGGTGCAACAGTCACATCTTACCRCTTAAAAAAATTACAGTTGTTTAAAGTGACACCCTGAACCCTCAGAAAATATATTTTAGCTGAAATCCGTCTACRTTTGCCTCAAACAATAAAAATGCACAAGTTTTAGATATATGAAATGGACGTCTTCAGTCCTCTCCTTTAAACGTAGTCTGTCAGTAGATCTCATCTGAGGTCACACTGCTCAGTGTGGTTAAACGCTGCAGGGGTCACGTGAAAAGACTCGCTTTGACACAATGCTGCTTGTGCAGAACTAAATAAGAGCAAGTTCAAATCAGAGGGGGGGCAAAGTCACAGAGGGGGCCTTCAGATATTTATGCATCAGATGAGGAGATGTTTTGGTTGGTGTTAAGTGTTTTTATTTTTGTTATGTAAAGACCTTTGGAAAATCCACACAAAACCATTTTAATTTTAATTATTACAGAAAACAGGCAGTGTCATGTGATATTACTTTTGCACAATATTAACAAAACAAAGTGTTGATGAGAAATAATGAYGTAATTTTAGTCAAACATCGCAAATAACATGAATGATCCCATATGATTTGTTAGTGTTTAGAGTGTGTAATACTCCATGTCGAATTTCAGAATCAGAAAAATCAGAATACCTTATTGATCCCCGAGGGAAATTATAGTTTTTATAGCTGCAACTGTTCAAGTTAAACAATTAGAGAACAAAAAGATGAGCACACTAGAATAGAATTTAATATAAACACTCTGGAGGAAAGCAAAATAAAACACACTTATGAACATTTAAACAATATAAACAAATAAAAAATATTAAAAATCTAAACAGTATGATTAGGTGAAATATATATAT